TCATTAGGACTTACTCCAGGAGGTACGTTATAATACGTATGGGCTTCTTTGTGCTTGTTCAGATCCAAGTATGGTGCACCTCTCTCCATGATGGCCTCCAGTTTTTCAATCATCTGGAAGAAACTGGGCCGAGAATACGGGTCTTCCTTCCAACATTCTGTCATCAACTGGTATCTTAGGCAAGTAAAAACGAAACGATCAAACATTCTTTCAAATGAGCTTACTACTAGAGGATAAGGCCATGTTTCAGTTTTAGAAAGTTGCTTATGTATTTGTCGCGTGCAAATGAAACAAATTAGGCTCTTAAAGATATTATGCAAGTTTCAGGGTCGTTTTAGATTAATTTCAAGTTTTTAAGGATGACGACAAGCTGGCGCTCCAAACGTCAGCTACTAAGTTTCTCATAGGAAAATTTGGCCTTGTAGCGGACCCGTCTTGTTAACAGTACACTTTGATACTTTTTTTTTAAAATATGAAAAGAAAATTAAAATTTAGTCTTAGAATGGATCTGCCAGATCACTGAAGCGGTCAACTTACATTTCATCGGAGCACATGTGGGGCTTTTCCATACGGTAACCAGTGTTGAGCAGCCGATACAGTTCTGTGTTGGTTAATGTAGGGTATGGCACGTCTCCTAAATCCCATGGAAACAGAGCGTCAGTTTTCCATAAAATTAAAGGTCCGGTTCAAACGTCGTATTAAACAGGTGCTCCGTTTAATGCCAGTGATGAAAATCTATTGTTCGCGATCAATTGCATTAGACTTGACACATGTAAAAGGCGACGTTTGCATGGACCGTGTCTATTATTTTACCAACATTTTCCTTAACATGAACTTATCGATAATATAGATAAATCGTCATTTAAAACACATAGCTGGAACATAAATCAACAGTATGTTACATGTAAAAAAATATACTTGCTTAGTCATTAGAAACAGTGAAATATTCGCCACGAATTGTTATAATTGAAGTAAATGAATGTCTGAGCATGCACAACAAATGAATCCATACAAAATATCAGAAAAACATATAGCATATTTAACGCTGTGACATAAAACATCAGCTATTTACGATATAAATATTTTGAGTTTTGCCGTTTACAGTAAATAGTTTTACATTTTAGACAACAATTTATTTTGAGTGTTTTTCTTTCGAATTAGGGAGGATATTTACAGCAAACATTTGTAACCGAACTACAGCTGTGAATATACGTCTGAGAATGCCTACCCAATGTGGCCATTTCCCACAAAAGGATACCGTAGGCCCAACTATGAGAGAAAACATGAAAGACTGTTAATGATATTATCAGAGGCTAGCAGGCGGGCTGAAAGAAAATATTTGATTCGGGGCGACCTTCTCTGTTGTGGGTGTGGAATCGTTGAAAATGATAACACTGTTCCATGGAAGAAGATTTTTTGAAACGTTATGCTTTGTCTTAACTAGGTGAATATTATAAGCAGGGAAACAAACCTGATCCATTTGGCAAACTTTGAACACACGATTTTGCTATGAGATAAACTTCTTTCAAACGGTCTGTTAATTACATTTTACGCGACTGAGAACATACAAAAAATATTCCATGATAACAATGAGCTGGGCGTGTCGAGGGTGAAAAACGTGTTACCACTGAGTGATTCTTTTGGTTTTCTCGTGTCTAGCTCTAAATGGAAAAGTTTACTCACACATCACTCTTGATGGTGAAAATGCCTTGATATAGTGATTCTGGGGCCATCCATTTCACAGGAAGTTTATTGGAATTCTCTGAGCTGTTCACGTCTTCATAGATTTGTCGCATCAACCCAAAGTCAGACACTTTCACCCGACTGTTATAGCCAACAAGGATGTTACGAGCTGCAAGGTCTCTATGAACAAGATTACTTTCACCGAGATGATTCTAATAAAAAAAAGGCATAGAAAGATTTGAAATTTTAGGACTATATATACAAACAGAAAACTAACCATCAAAAGAAAGCGTTATATCTCTCTACCACTACTATTATTATTATTACTACTACTACTACTACTACTACTACTACTACTACTACTACTACTACTACTACTACTACTACTACTACTACTACTACTACTACTACTACTACTACTACTACTACTACTACTACTACTACTACTACTACTACTACTACTACTACTACTACTACTACTACTACTACTACTACTACTTATTACGGAAACATGCCTATTGAAACATGTCGAGAGTCAAAGCAGATTTTTCTGTCGATCAGATGTCTCCTATTACTTGTAGGTGGAAATTGGTGAAAATCTAGATTATTTCGTAGACAATAGAAGAACAAAAGATACCAGAGAGATCAAATTAAGCGGTCTTAAACCATGTTGTGTGACTTTATTAATCATAAGCTACAGCATTTCTTATAACTTTCCTGCATTTAACTAAAAGTTAGAATGAAGCAAGGCTTAATAGGATTAGATTTTTAGAGACACTTTAATACTTGTCTTCGTGAATGAAAATTGTTGTCTCTGTATATGTTTCACCGAATTATATTCATTCTATTGATTGTTAGTAGCCCCTCTTGTAATTTTAATCGCTGTGCCGTTTGTTTTCAGTCGTTCAGTGAAAGTCGCTTGAGGAGTGCTCAAAATGCCGCGTTTTGAAGATTACACATTGATAAAACCATTAACAAATACATAACAAATTCTTTATTATGTTGGAGCGTAACTTTATTAATGTTTTTTCAAGCACTCTACCACAGCTTGCACTGCAAAAGTGACAAACGCCTGGTCGTATAGGTGGTTTTGGATTTTTTTTTTAACTTTTTAGCTAAAAGCCCACGCGTGCTTCGATCGTCGCGAATACTAAATGAATGCAATTTGTATTGCAAAATTGTGAAATACTGCATTCTGTCTGCATGATAAAAACAGTGCCTCATAGACCTCATAGTACTGTCTCACCTCAGATGTGATGTATAAATGGTATAAAAGATTGGTTTACACGCACCCAGATTTGTTGGCACGATTTTGTAAAGTAAACTTGTCGAACGCAAAAAAATCGGCCTGATTTTTTCTCTAGGTCTAATTAATCAACGGGAATCAAGAGGCATTATGGCTCTTAAATGTTAAGATGGTTGCTATTTTTGGGGTGTACATATGACGCTAACAACTCGATGTAAGATTTGGTTCACTCTTGGGCTGTCTGCAAATTATTTTTCTCTAAAATAACTTGGCCTTTCGCCCAAAAGTCACATGAATGTGCTCTATAGTTAACCGAATTGTGGAATACAAGTTTATTGTTTGATTTAAATAATAAATTTATTAATGGGAGCCTCGATTTTAGGCCTGGCTAAATCTATATATTACACCTTTCAAGCGTTTGAAGAAAACTCCTTTACAATAATCAGCAAAAAATCCGAATCATCCTCGATAATGAAAGCTCGGCGTTTACAAGAACTGGGCTGCAGTTTTGAAAGCTCAAGAGCTCGCTTCGATCGGCCAATGATGGGAGACACTTAACAGCTGGTGAACGTGTTCATCATGGTCTGTTCCTGAGACCTCATCATGGTTGGATTCACGGAGAAATTCTGAGTTTTAAAACCTGAAAATGGAATTGGTTTTCTTTAGACGCTGTCATCGATGGGCCGGCCAATGTGTGTGGTACGGGCGCATTCATGTTTACCGGCGCGAGTGGAGCCACAGTTGTTGTGATGCCGCAAACTGCCATTCGCTTTTTTTTCAGCGTTGCTCTTCCTGGTCAGCTTCATCGTAATCGGCAAGGAATTGTACGCTTTTGTGGCCTGTGACTTTGACAATATCTGAGCGTTCAACGTTTGCTTCCTTCAACTTGCTGATTGTTCTCTTTCTTGTACTGTGATTTGTGAACTTTCTGTGACTTTCTTCAATTACCCGCCACAATCGTTTTCATCATGTTGCTAATAGTACCGTTTTCGCCCATTGGTTGAGTTTTGAACCAGAGGTTGTCATTCAATCTTCGGTTTCTTTTGATACTGAGGTAGAAAGGACCATACCATCGCATGTTTTGTGGTCTTCGCTCGCTGCTTGAAGAGAGCAACCGGAAACCTTTCTCCTCCAACAGAGAACATACGTGGCGAAAATCTCTCTTCTTGCTCTGCAGTCCGCCCTGTCTGGTCTTCGTTGGACCTTCAGTAAACTGCACGAACTCCATGCCTTTATCGTTTTTGCAGAGTTGAAAATCTTCCATTTTCATTGCGTGGTGTTCTTGACGGCCGCAGTGACCAAAGAACTGCGTCAAAAGCCACCACTTAGAAGGAATAAGCGCTTCTGGAGTTTTGAACCAAATTTGTCTGCCTCCCACAGCACCTCTTTTTCTTCTTCAGTTAAACTTCTGGCTTTATTTGAACGTTTGCCTATACCGGATTGGCGAAGCTTTCGAGCTTTCCCCCGTAAAACTTGTTTTAATAGAGCAGCATATTTGTCAAAGCAAAAAAGTGACAAATTTTACCCCACCCCTCCCCCCCAAATATTCGATGTTGAAACATTTTGATGTAATTCAAAAATTAGTCCCAAGCAAAGACCATTTTAACAACAAAAAGCACTATAAGTGTAAAAACGCGATCTAAAAACAAAAAAAATCACCATTTTTTAAATTTTCCAAAACCTATGTGTCAGAAACTTGTTGCCATGGCAACATGATTAATCACATGGACATGGTAATTATATTAAAATGTTCCTAGATAAATTTTAGGAAAAGTCAGAAAATTTGAACGGCATTGCTCTTTCGGTGTAGGAGTTATCACGATTTTGCCGGAGGGGGGGTTCGAAAAGCCCCTCCCAGTCTGAATGAGTTAATCAACGGGAATCAAGAGCCATTATGGCTCTTAAATGTTAAGATGATTGCTATTTTTGGGGTGTACATATGACGCTACAACTCGATGTAAGATTTGGTTCACTCTTGGGCTGTCTGCAAATTATTTTTCTCTAAAATAACTTAGCCTTTCGCCCAAAAGTCACATGAATGTGCTCTGTAGTTAACAGAATTGTGGAATACAAGTTTATTGTTTGATTTAAATTATAAATTTATTAATGGGAGCCTCGCTTTTAGGCCTGGCTAAATCTATATATTACACCTTTCAAGCGTTTAAAGAAAACTCCTTTACAATAATCAGCAAAAAATCCGAATCATCCTTGATAATGAAAGCTCGGCGTTTACAAGAACTGGGCTGCAGTTTTGAAAGCTCAAGAGCTCGCTTCGATCGGCCAATGATGGGAGACACTTAACAGCTGATGAACGTGTTCATCATGGTCTGTTCCTGAGACCTCATCATGGTTGGATTCACGGAGAAATTCTGAGTTTGAAAAACTGAAAATGGAATTGGTTTTCTTTAGACGCTGTCATCGATGGGCCGGCCAATGTGTGTGGTACGGGCGCATTCATGGATACCGGCGCGAGTGGAGCCACAGTTGTTGTGATGCCGCAAACTGCCATTCGCTTTTTTTTCAGCGTTGCTCTTCCTGGTCGGCTTCATCGTAATCGTCAAGGGATTGTACGCTTCTGTGGCCTGTGACTTTGACAATATCTGAGCGTTCAACGTTTACTTTCTTCAACTTGCTGATTGTTGTCTTTCTTGCACTGTGATTCGTGAACTTTTTGTGACTTTCTTCAAGGCTAGTACCCGCCACAATCGTTTTCATCATATTGCTAATAGTACCGTTTTCGCCCATTGGTTGAGTTTTGAACCAGAGGTTGTCATTCAATCCTCGGTTTCTTTTGATACTGAAGTAGAAAGGACCATACCATCGCATGTTTTGTGGTCTTCGCTCGCTGCTTGAAGAGAGCAACCGGAAACCTTTCTCCTCCAACAGAGAACATACGTGGCTGAAAATCTCTCTTCTTGCTCTGCAGTCCGCCCTGTCTGGTCTTCGTTGGACCTTCAGTAAACTGCACGAACTCCATGCCTTTATCGTTTTTGCAGAGTTGAAAATCTTCCATTTTCATTGCGTGGTTTTCTTGACGGCCGCGGTGACCAAACAGCTGCGTCAAAAGCCACCACATAGAAGGAATAAGCGCTTCTGGAGTTTTGGAACCAAATTTGTCTGCCTCTCACAGCACCTCTTTTTCTTCTTCAGTTAAACTTCTGGCTTTATTTGAACGTTTGCCTATACCGGATTGGCGAAGCTTTCGAGCTTTCCCCCGTAAAACTTGTTTGAAAGAGTGGAACTCCCTGTCTCTTAATATGATGGAAAACTTGTATCATTGTTCATTTAAATGTCTATCAAGTGTAGCTATCATCACTCTTAAGCTGCCTGGCTCGTAGTAGTCACCGTTTTTGTTTTTTTTACCTCAGCGTAGAATGTTTCAAGTAGCTTGTTTAGTTTTTCTGCCTCGTTTTCCTCGATTTTGTTGACAATATTTTTCTGTTTGCACCACTTATACCATACACTCAGCCAGACTCTTTACTGTGTTTGGGTTCTTGGAATAATTTTTTAGCTGTTCTGTCGCTGTTTGATGAAAACCCCGGCCATTTTCCTACGCGTCTTATCTCAAATTTTCCGCTGATATGTTGCTATAGAAATAGCTCTAATCTGATTGGCTCTCGGTGGTTTCTTTGGTTTTTTCAGCCAATCAGAAACAATTTGTAATTTGCACTTGTGTTACGAGAGAACTGTACTGCACTCCTTTATCAGCCAATCATGGTTTTGTTTCATTTTGATGTTTTATTGTGATTTTCATGGTTTTCATTGTGAAATTTTATTAACCTTCTTGTGTACAGGGGGGAGGGTGGGGGGGCGCTGAGGTTTTCCTGAATATTTTCCTAGAGGAGAAAGCATCAACACCTGACGTTTTTAGTAGCTGTTCGTGTATCCCTTGCACGCATTTTGGGACATTTTGAGACAAGTTTGATGGTCAGTTTCTATGGTTACGAGATATAACGTCATAAGTAGCAGGCGGTGAAGCCATTTTTGAGTGAAAATACATGTTTTTTCAACTTCTTTCAAAACACAAAAAAATTACCATTTCCCACTGTTTAAACTTGATATCTAATCCTTAGTAAAATCCAAGATGGCCAAGATAGCGACCATTCTTGATGCCGTCACAAGGCTCCTCCAGCGCTACTACCCATAAAATATACCTAATCCTGTTAAGAAGATCAAAGGCTTTCCACTGAAGGCAAAATCGTTTCGAAATACTGCAACATATCAAAAACTCTAAGGAGGGCGGGAGGGGTCCATCCCTTGCACTACGTTGGGGGTAGAAATTTGCTAAGAGAACTGTTAATAATTTTTCCTCAGCGTGTTTTTTTATTCCTTCTTCGTGGAGCTGAATACGGCAGGCTGTATGCACATGAAAAAAGTAGAAGTCCAACACAAAAGTGTTCAAGTCGCTAAAACTCGCTGTTTGAGCGAGGCACGAAGACGGCAATACACAGCATTTCAGATAAGATTATTTTGACCCCCATAATAATCGCATTGGAGGATTAAGCCTGGTTTGCATATGACCGTCTGGATCGTTCCGATCGTCCCAGTCGTCTCAAATAATATTCGGACGACTGGGGCAATCATATGGAAACGCTACCCGGACGATCGGAAACTACCCGAACGACTGAGTCGACTTCGATCGCTTGAGTAGAGTTGAGTTCTATCCCGACGGGACGGTACGATCGTGTAAATTTTTCTAATTTCGCCCTTTNTGAGATTTTTCTGAGTATTTTCCTAGAGGATAAAGCATCAACACCTGACGTTTTCAGTAGCTGTTCGTGTATCACTTGCACGCATTTTGAGACAAGTTCAGTCATGGTCAGTTTCTATGGTTACGAGATATAACGTCATAAGTAGCAGGCGGTGAAGCCATTTTTGAGTGAAAATACATGTTTTTTCAACTTCTTTCAAAACACAAAAAAATTACCATTTCCCACTGTTTTAACCTGATAGCTAATCCTTAGTAAAATCCAAGATGGCCAAGATGGTGACCATTCTTGATGACGTCACAGGCCTCCTCCAGCGCTACTTCCCATAAAATATACCTCATCCTGTTAAGAAGATCAAAGGCTTTCCACTGAAGGCAAAATCGTTTCGAAATACTGCAACATATCAAAAACTCTGAGGAGGGAGGGAGGCGTCCATCCCTTGCACTACGTTGGGGGTAGAGATTTGCTAAGAGAACTGTTAATAATTTTTTCTCAGCGTGTTTTTTTATTCCTTCTTCGTGGAGCTGAATACGGCAGGCTGTATGCACATGAAAAAAGTAGAAGTCCAACACAGAAGTGTTCAAGTCGCTAAAACTCGCTGTTTGAGCTAGGGACGAAGACGGCAATACACAGCATTTCAGATAAGTTTATTTTGACCCCCATAATAATCGCATTGGAGGATTAAGCCTGGTTTGCATATGACCGTCTGGATCGTTCCGATCGTCCCAGTCGTCTCAAATAATATTCGGACGACTAGGGCAATCATATGGAAACGCTACCCCGACGATCGGAAACTACCCGAACGACTGAGTCGACTTCGATCGCTTGGGTAGAGTTGAGTTCTATCCCGACGGGACGGTACGATAGTGTAAATTTTTCAAATTTCGCCCTTTCAAATTTCGTCTTATTCACGTGCATACCGGTAGGCATTAAAGACAAAGGGTCAAGTTCCCCTTGGGCCTCTATTGGAGAAACAAAACATACAAGCTAAAGAGGTCTATTCAAAGACTATTCTCATTTTATAAAAGCCGAAGAAAGACGATTTAATCAACTAGCTATATAGATTGCTGCGTGCTCCCTTGTAAAGCAGTCTATTGGTCCTTTACGATACCCAGTAAATTCCCCAGGCCTTTTTAGACGCCCTAGCAAACAAATTCGCCCTGTTTTCGCAAGTCTACTATACAACGGGCAAGCAAGTTTCCCCACCCTCCTCCCCTTCAGCGTCGCTGGCAAATTTTCTCTATCAGCCCACCCTATGCCTTATGCAACATTTTTCACCCATAACTTATCCATCAAAGACATAAGGTGGCTCTTATGCGAATGTGAATTAGTTACAATTCTCGCTGAGGCTTAATTCAAATACCCATCCTTCTCTAAAAGAAATCATTAATATGCCCTTATAAATACTTTGCAGTGTAGCTTGGACTTGAAAAGTTGAGCATAAGGGACGATCGAAAGGAACTGTTTAGCAGTTAACCGATTCGAATGATCACACACGCAGCATCACACGGAAAATTCAGTAACAGTTTACAGCAGACACAGAGGAATGAGATTATTTATTATCCAATACAAACTAAGTTCTGACGCGCGTGACTCGCGAGAGGGCGTTGCAACCTGGTTGCAATCAAGTGATGAGGCCAAACTATTGTGTAGTTTAAAATTTTATCCGCATTTCATCTGTATTGANTTACACGCCCTAGCAAACAAATTCGCCGTCTTCTCGCAAGTCTACTATACAACGGGCAACCAAGTTTCCCCACCGTCCTCCCCTTCAGCGTGGCTGGCAAATTTTTGTCTATCAGCCCACCCTATGCCTTCTTCAAAATTTTTCACCCATAACTTATCCATCAAAGACATAAGGTGGCTCTTATGCGAATGTGAATTAGTTACAATTCTCGCTGAGGCTTAATTCAAATACCCATCTTTCTGTTTAAAAAAAAAAAAATCATTAATATGCCCTTATAAATACTTTGGAGTGTAGCTTGGACTTGAAAAGTTGAGCATAAGGGACGATCGAAGGGAACTGTTTAGCAGTTAACCGATTCAAATGATCACACACGCAGCATCACACGGAGAATTCAGTAACAGGTTACAGCAGTCACAGAGGAATGAGATTCTTTATTATCCAATACAAACTAAGTTCTGACGCGCGTGACTCGCGAGAGGGCGTTGCAACCTGGTTGCAATCAAGTGATGAGGCCAAACTATTGTGTAGTTTAAAATTTTATCCGCATTTCATCTGTATTGACATGCGCTCGCCTCAGCTCGAAGAGTTATCTTGTTTTGTCCTCTCTGGTTTCTTAATTATAGGTTCAGAAATAGCGAAAGTTCAGTTTAAGCCTTGCACCCTCCATAGTTATATTACTGAAATAAGACTGTGTAAGTTCTCGTGATAATTAATGTAATTACGGGTAAATTGCAACAATTCTTGGGAATTCCTGAGAATTCTCGGGAACTTGTCATTTTTTCAGTCTGCTACACGGCAGACTAGACATTTCTGTAATATCTCCCCTTAAAGATCGATGCTCCTGTTCCCTGGAATCGCCGAGAGTTCCCAGGATCAAGAAGGACACCATTTCATTCTCAGGAATTCCCTAGAATTCTCAGCCCGTTTCTATTTCCAAAAAAATCCCAGAAACGCGAAAGAATTTCCCGGAAATTTTCGGGAATGTTTCTAAAGAGTTCTCGAGAAATCCCAAGATTTTCTTGAGAAATTTCGCTCAGTCGGTATCGCAATTCAATCATTAGTTTAGGCCATGTATGAGAAATAAACTGATACTGAGGTCTGCGAACGATGGATAGGCTTTTTTGGTATCTTTTGATCAATAAGCTAAATAAAGTAAATTTACGTTTGATGTGTTTCTGTGTGATTTGGCGTGAAATCATTGATTTCAATGGTCGAGTTTTTCCCCCTTATTTCGCAAGCGAGTCGGTATTGCGTTACAAGCAACCGTTGAGACGTTGTATGAGAAGTAGAATACTGAGTTCTGCAAACAATAAATATCGTCATATTTTGCCTTTTGATCAATAAAGTAAGTAAAGAAGATTGATTTCCGACGTATTTCTGTGTGTTTTGGGTGTGAATTCATTGATGTAGTCGACTTTTTGGCTCTATTAACCCTCGGACGTATAAAGGGGGGGGGGTGGGGGTGGATGCCACCCCCCCCCCCCCAAAAGGTTTTTCTGAGTTTTGAGTTTTTCAGTACCTGTTTATTCATCCCTCACGCACATTTTGAGACAACTTTTAATTAGTGATGGTCAGTTGCTATGGTTACGAGATATGACGTCATAAGTAGCAGGTGGT